AGGGGCTGGCGGCCGCGCACCCCGACCTCCGCGCGGGCGGCGGCGGCGGCGGCGGCGGCGGCGCGGGCAAAGTCAAGAAGTCGGTGGACAAGAACAGCAACGAGTACCGGGTGCGGCGCGAGCGCAACAACATCGCGGTGCGCAAGAGCCGGGACAAGGCCAAGCAGCGCAACGTGGAGACACAGCAGAAGGTGCTGGAGCTGACCAGTGACAATGACCGCCTGCGCAAGCGGGTGGAACAACTGAGCCGCGAACTGGACACGCTGCGGGGCATCTTCCGCCAGCTGCCCGAGAGCTCCCTGGTCAAGGCCATGGGCAACTGCGCGTGAGACGCGGGGCGGCGGGACCGCCCTGGGCCGGCCGCTGGCTGGGACCCAGGGAGTGGTTTCGGGTCTCCGGATCTCAAGACTGCCCCAGCGGCGCAGGCCGGGACTAGGAGATTACGGTGCCGCCAGAAAGCCTGGCCTGCCGCGCGCGCCCCTTGCCTTCCTCTGCGCCAGATTCGGTGCGTCTAAGATGAGGGGTCAGGCAGTGGTTTCTCCCTGCCGGAGAGGAGAAGTGCCATGGGGCTCAGCCGGAAGCCCGGCAGCTCCAGTATTAAGGAATAACCTTGTGCCTTGGAAACGCAAACTCACCGCTCCGATTCCTACCGAGTAGGTGGAGCAAATACGTGCCTTGTCATTTTATTTGGAGGGTTCCTGCCTCATTCCTGAGGCTGCAGGCCTCCATGAGAGAAGGCAATGTGCGGCCTATGGCAGGAGAAAGGTTCAGGGAGCAGGGATCCCAACAAGCCAGCCCTAGCCGCTCCTCAATGCCTGTCCTCGGAGGGGAGGAGATACAGGGACTTGGAACGTTGTTCCCTTAGTCCTACATGAAGGTGGAGGGTCCCTAGTTCCTTGCCTCTAATCTCCCAGCCTGTGACAGGCTGGGCTTCCCTGGGCAGAACCCACTGAGATGGGGGGTCACCAGGTGACCAGTGGGAGCCCCCTGCCCCCAGTCAGATCAGAAAGCTAGGTCATGGGTGAGCTGTAAGGACATGTGTTCATGGGAGTGGTGGCCTGGTGGAAGAGGGAAACCCAGAGATCTGGTCGGGGGTGGGGGTGGGGTGAAGGGACACTGGGACCATCAGCCTTGTACTGTATGTTGCCAGCATTGCATACAAACATGAAGCACAATCTGTCCATCCCAGAGGGACCGAAGTTATGAGAAGCTTTCCAAATATTTTGCTTTATCAGCCGATATCAACACTTGTATCTGGCCTCTCTGTGTCCCAGCGGTGCCTTGAGCAATGTGAATGTGCACGTCTATGCTAAACCACCATTTTATTTGGTTTTTGTTTTGTTTTGGTTTTGCTCAGATACTTGCCAAAATGAGACTCTTTGTCAGCAGCTGCAGGGAGGGTCTGCAGCTCTCTTTCCTTTTGGTTTTTGGGATTGCTTTTGCTCCCAAGGGAACCAAAGAGGTGAGGTGGGCTTCCTCTTTCCCGGCGGGGGGGGGGGGGGGGGGGGTGTTGAAGGGGGTGTGAGGCTATGGGCCTCACTCCCCTCTGGCCTGGGCTGCCCACAGGCTTGCCCCCACCAGAGGCCCTGGCTCCTGGTCTGGAGGGAGGCGGCCTCCAGCCAGCACGCACAGATCGGCGGGGCTGGGAGCAGGGAAGGACAGCTTGGTTCTCTTCTTTGGGGAGAACGCAGAGTTTCATGCTAGATGTTTTATGTATTATATCTATAATATAAACATATCAAAGTAAATGTTGGTGTCTTTTTAAAACCAGAAAAGCTACTTCCAAGGTTTTCTGTGGGCCAGGTCACATTTGTAAATAATCACGGCATATTCTCTGGCTGAGATCCTGCCTTTCATTAGCTCTCCCATCCTGAGCCCTTCTTTACATTAAGGGGGTGACTTCTCCCAACCGAGGCAAATAAAGGGCAGAAGGAGGATAGACTCCAAGCCGAGAAAGCCCAAAGCCTGAAGAGAGAGTCCCCTGGGGGCTGGCGGGGAGAGGTTGAGGGGGAGGTCATAGGGCCTTGGTGTGGCCTCTGATCAGCCCCTGGGAGGAGCAGAGGGGCTCAGAGAAGGGTCCTTCTGCCTGAAGTTGCCACGGGCTCTGTGGGACTTGAATAGGCCTGGCCCAGTAGCTCCAGGCTCCAGGGGTCCTTTGGCCACATTTGCTTCTCGATCACCTACTGCCCTAGCTCTATAGCAGCCTTGTTCATGCCTGGCCTGCCCTAGCCCACCAGCAGGACCCTGGGAAGGCAGGGAGAGGCCTCGAGGGGTAGGCCCCTCTACCCCTCCCCACTTGCTCTGGGTCACGCGGCTGCAGTCTACCCCGGCAAGGGCCCTGAAGGGCAGCCTGAAAGCCGAGCACCCCTCCATCCCTTCTTCCATACCTGCCCTGCCCCAACCCACCCCAGGGAGGGGGCCCACGCCATCCCTGCAGTGGCTGTGTGGTCCCTCACCCACACCACCTGGCAAAGAGCCAGCCCCAGTGTCCACCCTCCCCCCACCGTGCCCATCCTGGACCCAGTTCCCTACTCAGACTGCTGCCCTGTGAGGACAGGCACCCTGGCACCCCCTTAGCAGCAGTAACAGCCAACAGAAGGAGGGCCCACCCTCACACCTGGTAGAACAGGGCCTGGCAGGAAGTAGCACAGAAGGCAGCCACAGCTTTCAGAGTTTACTCTCGCTGAGGGTAAAAGGCAAACCCTCTTTACCTTCTGTTTTCACCCCAAGAGGGTTCACTTGAGCAGCTCACCATATATGCCGATGCGGGCTGGGACAGTTTCAAGAAATTACACACTCTCTTTAAATTCTGAAAGCTCCAGCTTTACCTGCCTGCGTGGTTAACAGGGGTGATTTGCCCCCTTCCGGCCCCAGCCCCCGCCCTCTCTGTCCTGTGTCTTGCCGCCTCCTCGCCCATGGCCGCCCTTGGCAGAGAAAAGGCCACGAGCCCAGTGTGGAGGCGGCTGCCTGCCCCACCGCCCTGGGAACCAAGGAGGCAGAGCCCGGGCGCCCGCCTAGAGGCCTAGGGCAGGCCACAGCTTGCTAGGCCCCAGCAAACCCTCTCCGAGTTCAGTGCTAATTCCAGTTTTTCTTGTTTGAGGGGGCCAAACCTCAGCCTCCCCCTTTGCCCCCAGAACAGATCCCAGGATGAGCAGGGGAGGGACACCCCTCCTGCCCTCTCTCCTCCCTCTCCCCTTTCCCTGCCTCATATCCCGGGGTTTCCTCTTTCAAAGCTGCCAGTCTACTAAAGGGCACCCCTCCCACTGTAGATCCTGAGGTCCAGGGCAGACTTTGCTGGGACAGGACGGATCCAACCAAAGCTAACCCGAGGAAAGGAATGGGGCCAGTGGGGCCCCCAGTGGGGCCCCCCGGGAGACAGAGCAGCCAGCCAAGGGGAGGGGGTGGTGTGGGGTAAACTTGCCCAGCATGCACTCTGGGCCTGGCCAGAGAGGCGCCTGGGGAAGAGCTGCTCTTTGCCACCCACTGCTTCCTGCAGGGCCCCCATGGTTCCCCTCCTGACTGCAGCCTTCCTGAAGAGCCACTCCAAGAGCCTGGCACTGAACACACCCCAAGTATTACTGGATGCCCGCTGTGTGCCAGAGCCTGGGCCGAGGATGGGTCACCCAGCTGGGAACAGGAGGACTTGGCTCCTGCTCTCCAGAGCTCACAGTTTGTGGCGCCAAGATGGGTTTTCAGGGTGACAAGTGCAATAAAGAGAAGCTCACAGTGTGAACAGAGGCCACCAGGGAAGGCTTCCTGGAGGCAGCAGTTTGATCTAAGACCTGGTCATGGACCCGATCTAACACACCTAGATGCCCCTGCCTTGTACTTTTTCACGAGAGGTAGCAGGGGCTTCACCCCTCGGTGGGCCGTCTGAGCCTGGTGGCCCCTTGAGAGCACTGTTCAGGGGAACCAGCCTCCAGGGAGGAAGCAAAGGTAGAAGGGAGAGAGGGAGGCACACCTTCTTTGCTGCCAGGTGCCTCCCAATGGTTTAGCTCTGGCTGTCGTGGATGTCACCCTTATCTCCTGGATCTCCTGGGAATTTGTGAACGTGGGGTTTGGCCCTGACACCTGTGATGAGCCACTGGGACTGGTGAGGAGTGTCTGCCCCTCCCAGGTCTTCCGCCCCCTCCTTCCCAGGCACAAACCTGCCAGGCCTCCTTCTAGACGCTGCTGATTTCATGGGAGGAGAGGGGGGCGGGGGGGAGAGAAAGAGGGAGGCCGGTCAAGGGAGAGGAGAAACCCCGACGTTGCTCCTCAGCAGACTTTCTGCACACACGGGGTAGGGTCCCTTGCCTGGACGGCGGCGCTGGTGGTGGAGGTGGCGCTATTGCGTCCGTCCGTTTAGTTCCTATGCTGGTGGGTGGGGGAAGGGCTTTCTCTTCTTTTCCTTAAATAGAACTAAACCGCTAGCACCTTTGAAAGATCTTTCTGGTCTCTGTGAGAGATTATGCTATCTCCCTTCTCTTGACGCGCCCCCCCCTTCTCCCCTCCCCCAACCCCTCTCTGTGGATGGAGCATTTGACGTAAGCAGAGACATAGGAAAGATACCAATTCACTATCAAAGCATCCTAGCCCCATCCCAGAGCAATTAAAAAGCCAGATGGAATCTCTGGGAAAACGGCATTAATAACGCGAACAATCTGTGCAGGCCGGCAGGGACCCAGGAGCTGCAGGCGGGGGTAGGAAGGAGGCCGGGGTTCAAGAGCGTGAACTCGCAGCAATGCTTCAGCCACGTCGTGGCCAGCCCGGGATGGGGCCATCACAAGGGCATGCCTAGATCTGGCCACAGCTGGGCTATCCCCTCCAGCCCCCTGCAAGGCCCACTGTGCATCCTCAATCCTGGTCGCTGCAGACAGAGCCAGACAAATGTGGAACCCATTACTCAGGCAGCCACAGCCTCAGCCAGCCCCATTCTGGCACCCAAGAGCTTTGCTTCCCTTCACTTTTGTTTTTATTTATTATTTTTCTAGCCTTCTGGCCCCACCCACTAGGAGCAGGACTCCCTGCGTGACAGCTTCCAAAGATGCCCTTTCTCTTTATTCACCGCGCCCAAGCCCACTGCCCGTGCGTGACAACAGCAGAAGGTTGTGTCGGGAACCCCGTGGGGCCTAAGCCCCGGGAGCTCCCCTTTGATTTCAGAGAGGGTGGGCACTTGGGGCAAGAAGAGTAGCTAAGCTCTCAGAAGCAGGCATGACTGATAGGGGAGCAGGGCACAGGGGTTCACACTGCCCGGCTGCCATGAGAAGCCCAGAGGGGCTGGGCAAAGACCACAGGAAAAGAATCTTCTGCTGTTCTGAAGACTTTTCTAGGCAGAACCAAGAAGTAGGACCTTTCCTTATCCCCATTTTCCAGACCATAGTTGGAGGCCCACCTGAGGTGGGCTTAAAGAGGTAGTTTTCTTACACCCATCAAGTTGGGATGGAAATTGGTTTGTTAAAAAAAAAAAAGGGGGGGGGCGCCTGGGTGGCGCAGTCGGTTAAGCGTCCGACTTCAGCCCAGGTCACGATCTCGCGGTCCGGGAGTTCGAGCCCCGCGTCGGGCTCTGGGCTGATGGCTCGGAGCCTGGAGCCTGCTTCCGATTCTGTGTCTCCCCCTCTCTCTGCCCCTCCCCTGTTCATGCTCTGTCTCTCTCTGTCTCAAAAATAAATAAAACGTTAAAAAAAAAATTTTACCAAAAAAAAAAAAAAAAAAGTCCTTTGTGGTTTTTACATACCCAGAGAGCCATTCTCTGACCTTCATCTTCCCTGTCCCCACCCTCTACCTTCACCATCACCCTCACCCTCCGGGGAAACTGTTCTCTCCAAGGTCACCATGAACTCCTGAAACCAAATTACATGAACTTGCCTGGGATCCTGCCTCTCTTGGCTTCCTGCTGAATTTGGCCCGTGTTTGGCCCGCAGCCCGTCTTTAACACATGCGTCTGAATGCACGGATCTCTCTGCAACTCACCTCTCTCCTTCTTTAACAAACACCCTCACCTCCTCCTTTCCATTCAAGAGTCCACTGGGTGGCTTGAGGAACCAGGATTCACCATTATGGGAGGCAACGAGAGGCCTAAAAAAGGTAAACTATCCGATTCTAGGTAATCCTCAGCACTTCTGTGTGGTTAGTTTAGCCCCAGAAGCAGGGACTAGCCAGCCCCCAAGAGATGGTCAGCTTTCTGGAAGAGAGGAGAGGGTTGGGGAGAGGCAGGGCAATATGTCCCAGGGCTGCCGGAGCTGCTCAGATGCACGGGGAGCAAAGAGGGTTTCTCTGCATCTCCCCTTATGTCCCCACTCCAGGATGACTGGCAAAGTCAATATTGAGGGACTTTGGTCTGAGGATGGGAACACCAGTGGCCAAACATGGTGGTCTAGGGCCAGAGCATGTCACCCAGTGACCCAGACGGCCTGAAGGGAGCCATCACAGCCTGTCCCAAGCCTTCTAGATCTGAAGATATTTCTCCTCTTTGGCAAATAGCCGCCAACCTCTCACCAGAAAAAAAGGCTCTCCTCGAGCGGCCTTTGTCCCTTCCCGGCCCAGCCGTGGAGGCCTCGGGGAGCCCCCCCACCTCCCTCTGGAGCCAGCCCAAGCGCTCTCTGGGTGCCCCCCAGGAACCCATGCTGGTGAGGACATACAGCTGATTTATGGCGGCCCTTCTCTCCAGCACATTGGGCGATGGTCTCGGCTGGACCCAAGGCGCAGCCCCTGCCTGGAGAATAGGGACAAGGTGGTGTCAGAGAGATGTCTGCCTGCCCCAGAGGGA